AATTAGACCACAAAGATTTTGTGGTCCTAAACCTCCACCATGGTTTAGCAAACAATACCCTCGACACATCATGTAAGGACCTAAAACCTAGGTCCCCTTCCTCTTTAGGAAGACAAAGATTTTGCCATGAGGCCCAATGTCTGCTTCTCCCTTCTTCCTTTGTGCTCCAAAAGAATCTAGCAAAAATCTTATGAAGATGCTCCAGGACATTTTTTGGTGGATGCAGGACTGATAACATGTGGACTGACATACTTTGCAACACACTAGTAATGAGTGTTGCCTTTCCACCAAATGACAGCATCATTATTTTCCATGAATGCAATATGTGAAGGGGAATTTACCTTTTGCAAATCCTATAATAGCTCCAACCGCTTGACACAATCCCGTAGGAATCCTTGAATACATGTAGTATGAACTCTTATCTTTGTTGATCATCTGACCTGATATCTTCTCATAGTTCCCCAACACTTCCATAATCTTGCTCAATGATGGAGGATGAGCAGAAGCAAAGATTATAGTATCATCAGCATATGCCAAGTGGTTTAAAGGATTAGACCACTTAGGCAATCCAAATCCCGCAAATGACCTGTCTTCAAAGAGCTTATTCAAAGACCTGGAAAGTACCGCAGCGGACGGAATGAACGATGCTGGTGATAGAGGATCCCCTTGCTTCACACCCCTTGTACACTTAAAGAACCCTGAGGATTGCCCATTCACCAATACTGAATACCAGTTATTTGACATCAAGTTCCACACCATGTTGATGAAGTGCTCAGAAGATCCCATCTTCCTTAGTACATGTAATAAGTACTTCCATGAAACCTTATCATAGGCCTTAGCCATATCAAGCTTGATCACCACATTAGCTGGCTTTCCCCTTAACCTTATGTTAGTGATAATTTCTTGAGTCAATAAGATGTTCTCAAATATACTCCTATCCTTCACAAATCCGGAATTATTGGGAGATATTAGAGAAGGCAAAGAATTTTCTAATCTATCATGTAAAACTCTAGACAAGACCTTGTTAATGAAGTTGCTCAAGCTAATAGGTCTTAAGTCAGAAAAGGTCTAAACTCTAGGCTTCTTGATAAAAGTCCACTGCAGCTGTAGCCAACTGCCCCTAGTCTTCAATCCATACTCCACTTCCACTTTTCATCCTCTTCAGTTGTAATTTCTTTCTTTTGCCATTGACATGATTGTGAAAGAAATTTGTATTCCTATCTCCTTCAGTAAACCAAGTCATCCCAGCTTTTTGCTTCCAATAATGCTCCTCAATACTCAAGTATTTCTTCAATTCAGATTGTGCCTTTTGAAACACAATCCTATTCTCAATTGAAGGCTCTTTTTCAAACAGCATCTCTTTTACCCTAACAATGTCCTCCAAAATAGCCAACTGCTTGAAGATATCACCAAATGTTTCCCTACTCCATTTTGACAGTGCTACCTTCACCCTCTTGAGCTTCTGCTTGAACATCCAAAACGGATCCCCTATGAAATCAGCTTCCCAATTCTGCCTCACCACATCCATAAATGTAGCATGTTTAGTCCAAAAGTTCAAGAACCTGAAAGGCTTGACAAAATTGGTGGTCTGCTCCCCACATGTCATTAACAATGGTGCATGATCTGATCCAGTTCTGATTAGATGTTCAACTTCAATAGTTGGAAACATGTTATGAAATGGCAAACTCACAAAAATTATATCCAATATTTTGAATATACACGCAGCGTTGGATCTCCCATTCCACCATGTAAATGGACTTCCTTTGTATCCTTGCTCAAACAAATCACAAGAATTTACTCAAAATGCAAAATCTTCATATTCAGGCGGGTGTACCAGTAGTCCTCCTATTTTCTCATCTTCATGAAATATCATATTGAAATCCCCACCTACCAACCATGGCAATTTTATATCACTTGTTAAGTAATACAAGTGATCCCACAATTCCAACCTCTCAATTGCTGAACATTTTGCATAAACAAATCTCATCATCATGTGCTGCCCTAGGTCATGGTGAAGTACTCTCACAGTCACCTGTTGCTCAGTATCCTCCACTAATTCCCATTCCACCACTGCATCAAAGAACAACCATATTTGCCCATTAATATTTGCATAAGTCGTCTCCATATTCAACCTTATTCTATATCTATCAATGAATCTCTTCTTTTGAAAAGGTTCCATCTAATGCAACTACACAGAAGTTATGCTCCATGTTCATGTTGATCACCCTAGGAAAGGCATGATGTGTATTCACAGACCTTATGTTCCATATTAATGTTTTGATCATCATTTAGATAGAGAAGTTGCCCTCTTGGGCATAATTCTTAGAGGTTGTTGTGACTCTTTATTCTGATTCTTCTTTGTTTTCTTGCCTCTTTTTAGCACTAGCTGTAGGTGATAGATCCCCATCCCTAGCCATCTGTTTGAAGTTTTCTTCTGTTGATTCATCATCTCCCTCATCCTCTATAGGATTTTGTCTCATTAAGTCTTCATCAATTGGTGCCACGTTGTGTGTAACTAAATCATATAGATGTTGTAGTGGAGTCTACAGTGGAACATTAAGATGCAGTTGCATAATTTGATCAGTGCAATATTCCATAGGCACTTCCTCTATTTCCCAAGATGCTCTTGGAACAATTGCATGCTCATCATTCTTTTCATTTCTATTCTCTGATCCTACTGTATCATCCCTAACCTTCACATTGTCATCAAGTTTGTTCTCCAATGCATACACCGGAGCATTATCAACATAGGCCAAAATCTTACCAGCTGCACTAGGGATAGGGTTTACTATCGATGCTTCATCAGGTGACCCTAGCGCCAGGCCTTGCTTCGCCAGCCTAACGCCTAGGGTACCTGGCTTTAGGCCTGGCGTCGCCAGCCTAACACCTGGGGAGCCTGGTTTTAGGCCTGGCATCGCCAGCCTATCGCCAGGTGGACTGTTGTCCCTCACTTTGTCTCATGTTGTCTTTGTCGTGCCTATTATCATCCTCCACCTCAATTGCATCACTCTCTCCAACCTTTGTTGAGTTTATCTCATCAAGGTTCTCAAGCTGCCCATAATCTACAAATGTTTGAGACGGCATATCTTGACATGATTTGTTTGTAGTCACATTGAGTTGCCTTAGCTCCTCTTTGCTAGTTCCAAACTTTCTATGAACCCAGTCGATTGTGGATTCCTTATTAGCCTTTTCATCAGTACTTTGATCACTAGGAACAATAGGATTAGCCTTAGCTAAGTTCCCATTATGCTGATCTTCCAACACTTTGTCAACTACTTCCTTCTTCACACGTTTAAGTTCTTGTTGATTATCTTCTCCCGCTGGTTTAGTATTAGCATCCTTCCCAACCCTAACCTCAGAAGCCTTACGATTAGGGCTTGAAGCTCCGGTATTGCCTTCTTTTTCCTTCTCATAACCCTTCTTTGATTGATTTTCCCCATGTTCCTTCTTCTTACCATTGCTAAGATCCTCACCTTTGCCTTCAGTAATTTGTAGAATAGGTTGACGAACTTCCTCAACCTCTAATGCATTAAACTTGTTCTTGATTGCTACTTCCTCAAGTTTGGCCTTCCCTTTACCCTTGTCAACTTCCTTACCTTGTTTGTTATCAGCAATGTGACCCCTATTATCCCGTTGGTATTTGTTCCTCCATGCTTGTATCCATTCCTGCTTGGCATGATTAGTAGCAGGCTTACCAACCACCTTTCCACTTGACAGAACCTTTGTTGAATTTGCAGTTGTACCAATTGCTTCAGTACTCACCACAACTGTCTTATACTTGCCTTGATCCTCAACATCATCATCAAATCTCTTGTGTAACTCAGGATGAATTACCCAACATTCTGCCTCACTATACCCTTGTTTCTTGCAAGGCTTGCAATATTTAGGTATATAATCATACTTTATCCTAATCCATTTGAACTTTTCTGGCCCAGATTCATCAGCTTCTTCAATAATATTAATACATTTAGGGAAATTACCTAACAAATTAACTTCCACCTTCACCTTAGAACAACTAGGTCTAGCCCCATTTTGAGTTGCTAGGTCTACATGTAATGGGTTACCAACTGCACGAGCTAATGAAAATACACATTCCTTGTTAAAGAAATTTGGAGGAAGTTCTGGAAAGCTAATCTAAGCTATGGCAACTGGAGTCTCTTCATCAGGTGTAATTTATAAAAACCACTAAGTAACTAAGTAAGAGTGAAAACGCTCTCTAGAAACCCTAAACCGGCGATTACCAAGAGAACCGGCGCTGCCCTCCCATGGCCACTCTGGTCGGTGGCCGGCCACCCCCAGTGGCGGCGTTGCCCCCCCCCCCAAGCTTCCCCCACCATTGCCCAGACATCCACGATTACAAACAACAATCCCTAACCCATGGATTATTGGAAACTTCTAAAACCTACCACCATTAATGCCCCCATGCAGACCCTAGCTACGCTACCATTGAAACCTGTTCAGTTCCTGCATGGAGAACCAGTTGTGAAGTGGAAGAAGCAAGAAGTGAAACAATCCATCGTACAACAAGGGCTTCAACTTGCAGTTCTTGGGAAATTTTCGTATGGAAACCCTGTTATTGGTGAATTACGTAAAATGATAGGTTACGCAAAGAGAGAATTAACCCCATAGGTGAAATAAATTAATGTGTGCTTTTAATTGTGGGGGGCTAGGTACGCACGAGGTGACGAGAGTCCATTCGTAGTTACTAGCTATGCCTATGTTCGGGTAGTCTAGGTCTACATCATGCCTCGTTGATATTATTGTCGATTTATGTTTGTGGGTTGCCTGAGAAGGAACAAGAATGAGGTTGAGTAATAATTTCCTTAAAAGAATTGAAATTTGAATAATTTAAGGTTTAAAAGGCTTCATTTGAACTTCAAAATTTCGAAAAGAATTGAGGAATATTATAATAGCTTAAGAAATGTATGTGTAACCGCGTCGCACGTATGTTTCGTCACTGGGTATTTCCTTAAATTTATATTCAACCGCTTCACATGTATGATTCGCGAGCGGCGACCGTGTCGCATGAATGATTTGCGAGTGGGAAATTTACAGATGAATCTATAGTTCGTGCCGTTCGACCCTCGGCAGTGCATAATTTACAATTATGTTGGATCAGGACGAACGTCCTCGGTGGTATTTACAGTTTACATTTATGTTGGATCAGGCCGAACGTCCTAGGTGGAATTTATATGTGATAATGGAACTGGAAACCCTTTTATAATATGTATAAATACGTTGTTTGAGAGATCGAATGTTTTAAATGAATGAAGTGCTTGGGGTACTTGAATATGATGAAAGAATTGTTCAGTTATTTCTTGTTCCGAGTTGTATTCTAATCATTTTAAATTATACTTTTTTTTAGCAAATATACCACTAGGCAGGCTACCTAGCGGCTAATATATAAATAAAATTCCAAAAATGGGTCCAAAGCTTACAAGATGTCCAAACCAAAATAGAAGTTGCATGAAGCTACTAGCAACTAAAAAGATAGGAAAGCTAAAGTCTAATGAACTAATTATTACAACATTGTCTGATGAATGCTTCCTTCTCCTGTCAGTGTATGTGAATCCAATTTCCATTGGCAAATACCAAGCAGCACCTATCAAGCTCTCACCAAGCGTCAGTGTATCCAGTCCATAGGCTAGAATGGATTCCAAACATCTCCACCACAGAATCGAGGCCAGCATAGTCTTCCAATTATTTGTGTTGCTAAAATATGATCTCCATATGCAGTGTACTGACTCTATCCAAGTATAAATCATGTGGTCGATCCTCAATATTGTTATGTAACAAAGCATGGCTACACCTGTCTTGAGGATGGCTTTAGGCAGGCTTTTCAAGGCAAAAGCCAGGCTGGGGATGGCTTTAAGCAGGCTTTTCAAGGCAAAAGTCAGGCTGGGGCTGGCTTTAAGCAGGCTTTGCAAGGCAAAAGCCAGGCTGGGGCTGGCTTTAGGCAGGCTTTTCAAGGCAAAAGCCAGGCTGGGGCTGGCTTTAAGCAAGCTTTGCAAGGCAAAAGCCAGGCTGGGGCTGGCTTTAAGCAGGCTTTTCAAGGCAAAAGCCATGCTGGGGCTGGCTTTAAGCAGTGTTTGCAAGGCAAAAGCCAGGCCAGGGCTGGCTTTAAGCTGGCGACGCCGGGGTAACGCCAGGGTATCATCAGGCTTTAGCCTGGCGCCGCCAGGCCTGTGGAGCTGGGTGATTTTATGTTCTTGTAAGCTCAGATCCTTCTCTTCCCGAACCATCAATGTAGAAATCATTCTAAACATTGCTAAACCATCCTCAGATTGAGCATGAAGACATGCTAATACCACTGAGAAATGATTCAACAATCTTCAGAAATTCCACATAACAGATTCGACCTTTTCCTTAACATTTGAACATATCAGAAGTAGAATAAATTGCACCATCCAATACCTGCTTATCACATTGGTCCTGTACACTATCAAAGCACCCCGAGAATGAGCATGTGACTATGCTAATACCAATGGAATGTACCTTAATAGCATACATAATGAGACATAAAAGAAACAAGCAGGTATGTGCAGATTCCAATCCTGTGAAGCCATCAGTCTAGGGCTCTTCTTTTTTCTATTCTAACCCTAAGGTTAGGAGTTTGACACTTGTCTAAATTAATCAACCTCCTCCCTGCACTAGGCAGTTCAGAGAATGAGTGAAACTTAGATTTACCTGCAAAAGAGAAAACAATGTTAGCTATAAAATCTGCCACTGAGTTGCCTTCTCTGAACACATTTGAAAGATCACATTGAAGTTTCCCTTCATCTCTCTAATTTTCTTCACATCATTTGCAATTACCCGAGGAGGATCCCATTCCCCTTCTATCACTTTCTTCATCACTAATGAATCAGTCTCCAATATCAGAGGGTGAAGATCATGCTCCACAAAGTATTCCATCTTTGAAGAATAGCCTTAGCTTCAGCCACCATATTAGTTGTCACTCCCAGGTCTACTGCCCTTGCATACACCACATCACCTTCATCATTCCTCACACAAAAGCATAATGAGCTAGGACCAGGATTTTCTTTTGAGGCTCCATCAGTATTGCATTTGTACCAACCATGAAAAGGAAGCTGCCATGTTACTCTTATAGTGATCAATATAGGTTTA